CTTGATGACTTTTGCCAGACAGCAGTAGTAGCCTACTAGCACACACCATCACAACCACACACCACGAACAATCCGTCCCCACTCCAATGAGAGCACATGTTGGTCTCACGGATGTGGCCCCAGCTCAGCCGGTTACACCATCTCGCCCTGCAAGCACAACGCCCGCAGACACACAACACAAGGCACAAACTGCGAGGTGGGGCGGGTCGGCACCTGTAACGCTCCGTCTGCTTGACGAGGAACACGAGGTGCTTGTCCATCGCCTTCCGCCGGCACTCGTCCGCCTCCAGGCGCTGCTTGTACGCGATGACCTGGCAACACGCACGAACCACCACGATCAAAATAGAACCGTATTGTCGACGACACAACATGGCCAGAAAAAGTCGGCTATTTGACCCTTCAGCTGAAGGCAGGAGTAGGCTTTTACGTCTATCCATGCAGCCGAAAGGAATCTAGGGAGAAAGAAACACTGGAATGGTCTTCCAGCGCGCCATGATATCGCAAGTGCCTACGCGATGGACTGGAAGCAGCAGATCACCGCCAAAAATACTTCGCGACCACAGCCCCCCCCCCGGATCGATTTTTGGGTACATATGTACCAACACCGAACGCAGGGGAATCGTGAGCACTTTCGCGTTACAATACCTTGTTCAGCTTCCCCCAGAACGCCCGAACATCCCTAGCAACCTTGGACGCTCCCCTCCTAAGGGCCAGCTGCTCCTCCTTGGCCTTCTTCGCCTTGCGAGCCTCGTGGCCGCGGAAGTACAGCAGCACTGACCTAGCCTGCTTCTTGCGTGCGCTCTGCGGGGATAGAGTGAATAGTCGGGGGCCATGCGGCAGACATCAGGGTTGTGTTCGTGGTCGCCACGCCGGCTGTTGTCGTTGTTGTTCTAGGAGGTTACGATTGGGGCGTGTGTGTTGTCGGCGATTGTGTTGCCGCGGATGCTGGTGCAGAGCAACTGAAGGACCGATGTTCGCAGCTCGGCTACTCCTCGATGAAGAGGCTGCAACACATCAGGTGATAGCTTGTCGGAAAGTCCTCGCCTAAAAAGGTTCTGACGCCGCTATTTCCACCACTGTTGCTTGCTTCGCTGCAAAGTAGGCAAAATCGATCTATTGTAGTGCGTGCGGTATCCTTCGCCACTCAAGGCAAAACACTTGCGCTCGCCGCCTACACATTCACAAGCCGCAAACTTTCAAGAAAACAGCACGCATGCGCACCATGTGTCGCTTTCGCTCTTGCTGGAAGTCGTCGGCCATCCACATCATCTCCTTCAGCAGGAAGTCCCAGTGCCTGTTCTTTTCTCTCAGCGCTTGTCCGAGCACGTCCTGCCTCTCTTTCCCCCCGGTGATGGCCTTCGCATTCATTCGCCCGACGCACGTTTTGGTAGAAAAAAAAAAAAATGAAGGCTTGCTTGTGCGCGCGGTTGTTTTGGACAAACCGGGATTTACATCTCTTTGTGTGTACGAGACAGGGATTGTTAGCCTTCCTAGTGTACATCGGCCCGATCCGATACAATTTTACCCCCCGCTCATGCCCATCGTGCTCTCTCTGTCGTCGCTACATTCGTCATGAGGGCAACTCGCGATTTGTGGAAGTTGGGGCGACGCGGAAGACGCTTACGGTCTTCCGACCATACCAGGGCATCGCAATCGCCCGGCTCCACTAGCCAATGAGCACCAATAGCACACAGAGAGGCACCAGCGAAACGCCTGTACGCATAGTTTGCTCCTAATCCTGCTTCTACTACTCCGCATTTTAACTTCTAGCACTTTTCGACTGCTTCTATCGCTTCTACCACTACCATCAGCCACCACTACCTCTACTCCAACCGCTCTCGCTGCTTCACACAGAACGAACCAAAGTCGCACCTGGAGGCGTTTCGCAAGAGCCGCTCTCTTCGTCTTGACCTTCTCCATGGCGTCGTTCCTCACGCAGGACCGCACCATCTCGTCAAAGTCGGCGTCCGTCACCGGGCTAGGCGTCACCGGAACGTTAGCCTCGGCGTCAGTCTTGCCGACCTGCACCCACCGCTGCCGCATCCACGCAGGCGTAGCGGAGAAGCCTCCGCCTCCGCCGCCGAGACTGCCACCACCGCCGCTGTCGGTCTTCCCGACGGAAGAGCGTTGGCGTTTCTTGACGCCGGGGCCTGGGGGTTTCTTGGCACCGGGCTTGGGCTTGGACTTCTTAGACTTGGAGGCCGACGCCGCTGCTGTGTTGGCAGTGGTGGTTGCTGTCGCCTTCGGGGCGGGGGTGGACTTCTTGGCCCCCTTTCCTTTCGAGGGTGGGGTTTTCGCCGTGCTTGGTTCGGCCTCCTCTTCGGATACCTGCGGCGAACTCTCTTCTTCCTCTTCGTCTTCTTCGCCCGACTCTGTTCGGGGTGGAGGCCGAAGGGGGGGGGG